TAGTCACTATGAGGATTAGAGCACTCTCGTCGGGTGGTAATCCGGGAATGTTACGAAAGTTAACCGGTCGTCAAGAACATAGGCATCGTAGCCTGTTGGGTGTATTACCTCAAGACAGCGGCGAAGAAGGACCGCAGCATCTGCATAGGGGGTTTTGATCACGAGAGGGATCGAGACCGGCTTTCTTGTCCTTCAAACAATTGCGTCACATCTTAACTCCGCGAGCTATGCTTTCACCGGGAGAGCAAACAGAGAGGAACGAATTCGGGTCACTTGGTCAATGATCATTGTCATCCACGTTTAAGTAGATGAATCACATCCGCCAGCAGATAATTTGATATGGTGAAATCGCCATCGTAGACCAGCATGTTTTGTCATAAGGGGGGTATTCCCAGCGCGTCTGTGATACGCAAGCTAAGTATTGTTCGGTTGCATTGTCTGTTCTATGCCAAAAGATTGGACAGATGTTGATATCAGCGTAGGCGGCTTTTACGAATCATTTTATCATGACAGCCTTGTTGATGAAGAGAAGTCCATTACAAGTTCGGAACGAATAAGCAATGGACGGAAACGAAGGAGAACAGTGGTAGATCAGCAGCGTCGACACATGGCTGGCCAACTTTGGCCTCTCTGAAGTCCTACAGGATATCTCGCCATTCACCATTCTGGTGTGGGTTTACCTCGAGTCGTTCTGCGTTCAGTGTCAGAGATATCTACCTACCCACGCTTTTAAAGCCCCTTTCCCGCCCATAGGCCCTCGTCAAGCGGCGACAGAGAATTTAGCGGCACGTGTAACGCCACACACAATCCAAGTTTAAAGTTCATCGTAATCGCAGCGGTATCTGGCTGTTGTCTAAGCCAAACACACGCAGAGCCGTTGCTTTCCGAGGGACGCGACCCCGCTCGGTGACCCCGCGCCCGGAAACACGGACTTCGGGCCCACTTTCTCGGCGCCGGGCGGACTGAAGTTTGCGACTTCCTCGGTGAGGTCTTGTTCGTTGAGCTACCTACGGTGAAAATGCGTATTTGAACACTTCAACCATTTCGCCGTTTTGATTCGGCCAATGTCGTTGCGGCGTGGGTTACAATCAGCTCAGCAAGCTGAAATGATTCCAAGGATGTGTGACTGTCTTGCGCGACCGTCAACTGAAAAGTGCATACACACTAAGGGCCATTTGAATGTCATTTCTGCCTTTCATATCTGTCTATTTCTGTGTATTGCACATGCCAAGGATGCTCATAGTTACACAACGATCAAGATGCAAGGTAACCATGCCTTGGAAATGAGTACTCCTTGCGTGGGGATGGAAGCTTGGTACCTGGACCAGTGTTCGGTCGTGGACTCTGCCTTCCGTCATTGGAGAAGGAAAGTTCGTTGTTTGCCCCTATGAGATGGATTAAATGAGCATGTGTGGTGGCTCGCATGCCTAGGCATCTCGCTGTTGAAGGCCTCGGCAGCTGATCGTTGTCTAAGGTAGAGTATTTAGATCGAGCCTTGGTCCCAAAGCATAGCTTTTGCACAATGTTTTGGGACAGTGTTATCCTGGGCGTCCTCAACGTGTGGGAGACATGATACTGGTTGCTTTGACGCTGTTTGCTATGGCAGCCACATGGATACGATTGATAAGCGACTTCGCCGTTACAGCTACTGATAGCATAACCTTGAAAAACACCGAACTACTATCAGGAAAGGCTGACGGCGCAATCCTGGGCCCTCAATCCCACCCGCCAGTTTGTCAGAGTTCCTTCTGTGGGCTTGAGACGATCAGGGAGTGTTTCTCTGAAGGTGATGAAGCCAGTGCGGTGAAAAACGTGTCCCTCCTGGACCTCACCGGTAATCACCAATGTGTCTCCTGCGCCATGCAGATGGCCATTAATCACAAGCGCCTGGTTCCACGTGTGCTTGTTCTCTATCCCGGCAGAAGCAATCTCCACCCCAAATATGGTCACGCTCTTATCCAGTTTCATCTTCCACCGTCCATCTTCTTCTCTCCGAATCCAGCACTCCACTACCCTCACACTCAGTAAGCCACTCTCGTCTACCTTGACGTGCTCACTGAGCGGCCTGGCCGTGCTGGCCGTGTCCCCTAGTGTCCATTGGCCGTCATCCCCTCTCTGAGCCTTCGGGAGCCAGCAGGCGCCCGGCTTTTGACTGGGAGGCATGGCCGTGATAGATGCCAAGACGGAAGTCGTTTTAAACACCCTTGTGGCAGCCTCCTCGAAGCCTATGCCATACTCTACTGCTACTGCCTCTCCTGGCTGTAGCATTCCCAAGACCCCGTACACCAGGTCTTCCTCCACAACACACTTCCTGGCTCCCATGTCCTTCCAGAACTCTACCAGCGACGCCTTCCCTTCGCCGTACTTTTCCATAGCTCTAGCGGCACTGCTGAACGGGTGATTACCCACCCTTGCCCGAGCCTCTCCATCACCAACGGAAAGAATGCGCCCATTCTTGTTTCGGGACACTGCCACTCTGCCTGCGATTGCCTCTGGACGTCTCACCATCAACATCAACAAGAGACTGTATTCTTGCTGGCTTATGGCGCCGTCTTTGCCCACTAGCAGCAAATTCTTCGAGAGGGCTGCCTCTTGGTACGTCCACACGCGTGACTTCCACACACTCTGATCCACCGCTTGTAAAGTAGCTTGCCACATGTCCATGACGTGCGGCATGTCTCTCTTCCCTCGCCCGAAGCAAGTTTCCGAGATGTCGGCCTCCTTCAAGAGTGCAATGCAGACCGCGGCTCCTTCATAATACTCCGCCATCTTAGGAATTTCGGCTTGCTTGTCTTCGATAGAGTCTTGCTTGACACACAGCTGGTCTATCCATATGGCAGTGATTCTAGTTCCCTGAAGAATCCCACGGCACTTGTCGACGACCTGTGCTGGATCGTCCCATTGCGTCCACGCATAGGATACAATGGCGTATCGCTGTCGAGTCTTGGGTTCTTTCACTTCTCCACTGAGTAAGTCAAGCAGTCGCGTGGGCTGTCCCAAAGTATATGCTCCTTTAAGCACATACTCAGCGTCTTCTGACAGCCGCGGGCTGCTCGTGAGTCCTGCTCCCACGTCTGTATGTTATCCTGACTGCTGCTTAGAGATATTGATCGCCTTTGGCCGAGCGCTGCCGGGTTTTTTCTTGCCCATCTTGAAGCATCGAGCTTGCCAGGTAAAGAAACCCAACACAATTCAATCAAGTATTGGTATTGGTACCGTGTAGACCTTCATGATCTGCAGGCCTACCACCGCCGTGAAATGGATTACTTCGTGTACTGCGGGGTAGGAGCGATGAGGCTTTTGTGTGCAGGTTGATCAAGACTTTCTGGAGAGATCCTAGTGCAACTGATGACGAGACGGGCAAAGAAACGATTGCAATGGAGACTTGCACCCCAAGTGGCTCGGGCTTTCAACAAAAACAACCATTAATAAGAGAAGAAGGGAGGAAGCGAAGTGCTTACCCATCCCACTCCTGCCGATGATGTGGCGCCAGTCACGTGGACTTCTATGACCGCTCGCCAATGGTGAAGGGGGTTGCTGCATGGTTGATTGGCTGTTGGTGGGGTCTGGGAGGGCACGTTCGAAGCTCCAGATTGCTAAAAGTCCAGCAAGAGTTGCGTTGTTCAAACCTCTCAAGGAACTATTCTCGAAGATCAATCCTGTGTCTTTCCCAGCTTCACAGTCGCAAACCTCACTACGACATCGGTAGGGCCAGCTGATTACGACATTCACCCAAGATATCAACGCTTGTGCGTTTGTCTCCAAGTGTTGTTGTCTCGCAAGTATGAGGCTTTGTTGAAGCCACCAGTCTTTCACACGCCGCTACTTAAGATTTTGATTTTCCACTGTCGAAGACATGAGATGACAAGCACGTTCACGACGACAATATGAAGTCCTGAAACCAAGGTTAGGGGGGCATCCCGATTTTGAGGAGATATGTGAGGGTGCTGACAAGCCGTTATTTGTATCAAAGATGGTCTGCAGATTGACCTCTTGGGCAGGCAGTTGAGGAGCTTTATGTGCACAGAGATTGAAGATAATGGATGTATTTTCCCAAGTAATCCAGCCAGGGATGGATAAGTAGGTTCACAGCTACACAGAAACGTCCAAGCTTACACAGCGTGACGACTTAACTTCAATTTAACACCTAGGCTATCCAAGTACAGAGGCCAAATCGGGACATCTAACACACCAGTGATCTTTGACATGGATAGATAGCGATTGAAGTTACCACTGTAGCTTGGAGAGACGCTCTTGGGAAACAGTATGGCGATAGCGTTCGATATTGTGCGTGGGTGAGTTATGAACAACTACATATTGCCGAAAATAGAATGAAGGCGGTTTCACGATATACCACTCTTGGAGAAACCATAAGCTATCCGTTATACATGGCTTTCAAGCAAGTATTTTGCCAGCTTTGTTTGACATGCGCAAACACAAGCACAGTCGATCGGCCTCGATGTCAATTTCTCTCTCCAAGCCAAGGCGTCATTGTCGAAACGTAGGTCAGCAATAGGCCTTGAAGACGTCATGGCTGTTCGAGTTCAAAGCTGACCCCTCTGTGAAATACGAGCCCCGGTCGTCAGAATGAAACGAGATAGCCGTGACACCAACAAGAATGGTGCGCTTCTGTGGATGAATAAGTGTAAGATCACCTGAGAGGACGAGGACGATGTAGGTCCTGGGTTGACTGCCTCAACCCACGCACGCAGAATCTGAGGTTGGTCAGCTTGACTTTTGAGATGCCAAAGGATCATTCGACATCGCAAAAAAAAGAATTTCATTCGTTGTCCATTTTATAGGCAATCTTGAACGCAAGCAGAGGTGTCTCAAGGAGCTCTTATATTACAAGGCCTAGAAGAGCTTGGCTGGACTGAGTGTTTGAGTTACATCATTGTGAATGTAGCCAAATTCATTATAAACCAAGTCTAATGCCAACAGACTTAAAGGTAGATTTGAACACATATTATTTGTTTTGGACGCCGGGTATCATACATTGGCTAACTTTCTTCCCCGTTCTCCTCCACCAGTTCCTTCTTCTCCTTGGGCTGGGGTTTACCCGCTTGTGCCCTCTTCTGCTCCAAGTTCCTCCTCTGCCACGGCTTCAGCTTCACCTCCTCCCCTTCACCCTCGGCTCCCTTCGCCCACTTGACCCAATCAGACCGTCTCGTCTTCCACATGTCACCCTTCCACGTCCTCCAGGCACTGCGACCAAACCACGACTCACGCAGCGTCCGCTCGTGTTCCGCCAACGAGGCCATAATGGTCTGCTTCACGTGGAGCGGAACCGAACGGTCCTTGCCTTGGGAGGGAATATCGACGATGGCGTTGACGACGTTGTGGCCGGTCTGAGACTGAGCGAGGTCGCCGACATGGGGTGCGAGGGCACCGACAAGGGCCTTGTGGAAGAACTCGTTCTGGGGTGCGGCGGGACTGGCAAGGGCGGTTGTGAGGACGCCCATCTTCGGCATGGATTGTGTCGCGAGTTGGTAAAGTAGATCGGAGGGGAGGGCCATGAGCGACTTTTGAGCGACCTTGGAGGGCTGACCCGGGGTCTTGAACATCGTTGAGGCGAGGTGGGCGCCGTGCGCGGCGATGGCGGTCTTGTTCTGCGGCGCTTGGGATTGCTGAAACTTCTGCTCCTCCTCTTCGGGCTCTTCCTCGACAAGATGGCACAGCTTCGGAATTAGGTCCTTGGGGTTACCACCCAGAGCGTCCGTGAGAGCCTTGGTGAGGGCGGCCTTCTCCTCGTAAGCCTGGCGGGCCTCGCAACGCTCGAAGAGAGTCTTGAGCACGTTGTAGCGGTGTTTCGTGACCAGGGTTGGCACGATGGGCAAAATCTTCTTAGCGGCTTCAATAAGGTCGTCCTTGCTGAATCGGTTGAGAGCGCGGAGGGCGGGGTAGGATGCGATGTCGTTGCGGACGTAGGTTGCGATGCGCTCGCCAAAGAAGTTGTGGGAGAGGGCCTTGAAGATCTTGCCCGGGCAGTGGGTGATGAGGGTCTCGAGAAGACGGGAGCCAATCTGGTCGTACACCATGCTGTTGACGAAGTCTGCAGCTTCGGAGGTGGTGTCGCTGAGAGACTTGGGGGCATCCGGGAGCAGTCTGTAGAGAAGCGAGTCTTGGTTTGATGCGGACGACTTATCGTTCTTGTGGTTGAGAGAGATGTCGAGTTCGAGGAGAAGCTGGAGCAGGGGGTTGCCCGTCGGGTGCTTCGCGAGAACGCGCAGAGATGTGAAGTCCATACCAGATACGGCGTCCTGGATGATCTTCTTGGTGGCCATGGTGAAGGACTCCGGGACAGCCCTCAGCTGGGTGTTGAGATCCTGTGTGTTGGCATTGGCGCCGTGAACGGTGATGTGCTCCTTCTTCTTGCTCTTCAACAAGGACTTGGTTGCCGCATCTTCCAGCGGACGACCAGAGAGCACGACCAGGAGCACTCTGAGGGTGTGGGATCCAAATCGGTCGGTGAGCAGAAAGCCCATGTGTTGCTCAAACTCGTCCAAGGTCATGAGGAAGAGATTCTCCATTGTGCTCTCTTCCACAGGCTCCTCGCCATCTTGCATCTCCGTATCTTCCTCGCTCTTCTCCTCAGGGACAACGCCTCCCAGCTCTTGTGTAACGACGGGTGCAGACTGCAGGAACAGCGTCTCGCAGCAATGGCTCGCAAATCTGTGCTGGACAAGAGACAAAAAGTGCGTCGCAAATGCATTGAAGATTTGCTTCTTCTGCTTGGTGTTCGACAGAAGAATCAACCGCTCCATCAGACGCGACAGCGATTGACTGCTAGCCAGCTTGAGCTCCTTGCCCTGTGCCTCCTTGTAGACGCTCTGGAGGAAGATGTCGCGATCCTCGGGGGAGGGGAACTGGTTCAATTCGAGCATCTCGTCGGCGCGGCGGAAGTACTCCTGCTCTTCGTCGGCGAGCATACCAAAGAATTCCCTCTCCGGGCCATTGCTGGGGAACGACTGTTGCTGCTCGCCCGCATCGTCGTAGGCTTGCTGCTCCCCTTCTTCGCCATGTTCTTGCGACTCGTCCTCGGTACGTCTGCGCTTCGATTGCCGCTCCTCGTCCTTGGCATCGTAGTTGGCTTCGTGTGTCTCTCTCCTCTTCTTCTTTCGCTCGTCGCGAATAGCTTGACGTTTCGTTCTCGGCTTAGGCATTTTGACGGAGGCTGAGCGGTGCAATTGCCAATCGGGTTGCTGAGGAACAGAGCGAGAGTGGACTGTCGCATACAGTGTTGGAGAGCAAGCCGAAAAAAAATTTGGTCCCAGTTTACTATCTTATCGTTTATCTTATCGCACCCCACTAACCCCTGCACCATCATTCTCAGCTGCATGGCCCCTGCCTCCAGTGTAAGTTCCTGGCATCGACAACGTGATAATTCTCTCCCTTTGCTTACCGTCTTCACTTTTTCAAAGCACTTCGACTTTATATTGAAGCTCCTTAGCTGATTATACATTGCGTTTGTCGAATTTCGGACGCATGTTACTTAGCCGAGCCAGTCAAGATGCACTGTACGGCCCATGTCGGAAGACGAGAACTCAACAACTGCCGGCCAACGACTCTTTTTGTGTCTATCTCTATATTTCTACCTAACTTTTGATGCCCAGTCCATCTTTTTATTTTCGTCCAAATCGTTTCAGATCTATGCACTCATCACGCGCTACACCACGACCTCCTTGCCAACCTCCTCCAAGGCCTTGACCAGACCATCCACAGTCCCCTGCAGCGTCTGGCAGTTGACGACCACACGGAAGAAACTGCCCTTCTCTCCAGGGGCATAATCGATCATGAAGCCACGCTCGATGAGCTTGTGAACAACTTGGCTGGTGCGTTTGGTGTTCGTCTTCGGGTCTTCCGCAAGCTGACCGTTCGGTGCATAGTAAAAGCAGACCTGCAGACACGGCGGCGGGTTGCTGGACACCAGGACGAAGTTCTCGCTCTTTTCAACCAGAGTAGCCAGACGCTCGGCCAGCGAGAATGCATGGTCGATCTGCTTCTCAAATCCGCCGGCGCCATAGTAGATCCAGGCCAGAGCCAGCTTCAGACTGTCGCCCCTGCGGCCGCACTGCAGGGTCAAGTCGGCAAGGTCCCAGACGTCACCATCTTCGTCCACATTGTGGAAAAGGTATCCAGCAGGCAAAGTGTTGGCCTTGTGGAACACCTTCTCGTCTGGCGTCAGGAGGAACGAGCACGTTACCGGCACGTTCATCATCTTGTGCGGGTTCACCGTCAGAGAGTCGGCCAGATGAGCGCCTTGTAACTTGGACTTTTGCTTTTGGGAGAAGATGACAGATCCTCCCCAGCTGGCATCGATGTGGAACCACAGTCCGAACTCTTTGCAGATGGCGGATATCTCCTCGAACGGGTCATAAGAGCCCATCACCGTCGTTCCAGCCGTGGAGTTGACGTACAGAGGGGTCTTGCCCTCAGACTTGGCACGAACGATCTGCTCCCGCAGAGCACTGGGGATCATGCGGCCATCGGAGTCAATAGGCACCGCCCAGACGCTTGACGCCCCAAGACCGCATGCCAACGCACTCTTCTCAACGGAGTAGTGGCCGTGAGCACTCGTGAAGATGACAAAATCATACGAACCGTTGCCAGTCTTCTTTGTCTCGGGGTACAGAGCACTGCGAGCTACTACCAGGGAAGTGAGGTTGGACGCGCTGCCTCCTTGGCATGTGACTCCTCCAGCCCTAGGGCCGGTGAACCCAAATAAGTTCGCGAACTTTCGAGCGGTAATCTTTTCGATGATGCTCAAGGCGGGCGAAACTTGGTAAACGTGGAGCTAACATTGGTCAGAGGATGTTTGGTTGCAAAAGACGGATGACTCACGTTGGTGTTCAGTACCGACAAGAGAAGATCGGAAACAAGCCCAACCTAAGCATGTTAGCGAAGCTCCTGCACTCATGCGAGCGGACTGACAGGAGTGTTGCTGGCATACAGCTTATCCATGAAGCCTTGGTCCCAGGTGTTGACGCTGTACCTCAGGATCTTCTGCACCACATCAAGCAAGCCCTCTTTCCCGAGTCCATCGCCTTCGGGAAGGGATAGCTTCAGCTTCTCGACCAACGCCTCGGGCTTCAGAGTGTCGACGAGAACATTGCTTGGAACTCCGTCGATGTTTACTGATGTGTTGCCTCCGGCCTTCTGTGGCGCGGCTTCATCTGCAGCTCTGATGTACGGGACAATCAATCCCTTGACTGCATCAAGCAGCTACACGGGGCAATCGTCAGCCGGGCCATCTTCCATGAGGAACGTACTGCTTGAGTCGAGCACTTACATCGTCGACTTCATCAGCTCGACGCAGTTGCTGCGGGGCAGCGTGGTTACCGTTGATCCCATTCATGATGGTTGTCAGGACCGGATGAAACTGGCAAAAAATCTGTCGCGGAGTCAATCCCGATGAAAATATTCGAGTCAAAGTTTTTTCAAATAGATGAAAACTTCCAGACGCGAGTCAACATCAACAGAACGAATCCAACCTTGAGAAACTTTCACTACTGGAGTATCCTGCCAGGAGGAGCAACGGGAAAGAAATTCTTCAACGGCCGGTGCTCTGCCCGATGACGGCACATCGGCGCGATTTGTCGCGACTGCGGCCGGGGTTAGCCGCCGCCGCGGCCGCGGGGACGGATTTCATAATCATAGGCGATTTTTCGTCATTTGACGGCGCAGTGGTTCGGCCAATCCGCTTCTCATCAGCTGCATGAAGATCATGGTTCGACATCCTCATCAGTTCGGCATGTTCTCATTCCTTTGGACACTCCGAGAAAGATTTTCGGCGTTGCGCAAACACAGGGGACAACCCCCCCAACCGCCAACACGGCCCCAGACCAGTGTGACCCGGACCCGACAGCCGCTAACTCAGGCAGCGGCACTTCTAAGACACACGGCCGGGCCTGGCCGTGTCCGGCTGTCCCGCCCGCGCTGTCCCTTGGCTTCTCATCTAGGCCTGTTTCACAGTGACGCCGGTTACTTCGCTAGCAGTCATGTTGCGGGAGAGATTGGACCGATTTCGCTGGAAGCAGGTTGTTTTCTGCCTCATTAAGACAGTATGCTTTGGCCCAAGATCAGTTTATCATATTCTGTCACCCACCGAGTATATCATTCAACACCAGGTTTTTGTCACCAATATACGCAGCAAGCGACATATAACCATCGCCTGAGTCCAGCTCAGAATAGAACGACACGTCCTTGTTGATGGGCTTTGTTTGCAGCCCTCAATGACACGTTTGCAGGCCTGGGGAAGCTGAGGGGCTGAAAAGGGCGATGTACCTGGCCTCGGAGCCTAGCTCTCACCGCAACGTTCTCTCACCCCTGAATCGAAGTTTTCTCCTTGTCTCGACAATCTCATTGAATCTCGTTGATCTGCTCGCCCGCAGATGACCGCGAAAACTCTGCCCGTCAGTCGTCAACATGGCACTCACTTCCTGCATCTATCATGGCAGCGCATGGCAGATCCCGACGAAGCGAATCTGCTAGACTCACAGCCCGTCCGTGCGCGTCTATTCGAAGGCCGAGCGGTGGACTCGCCATCTCCCGGCCGTGATTAAACCGGAGACGGCTCCGCATGGCAAATCACCGCCGGCATTTGCCTGCTTCTCGAAGGGGTGGCGCCCGGTGCGGCGATGGAGCATGAACCTGCAATTGACAGACGACATGGGTTTTAGATATCACGGGGAATGTTTCACGGATTGCCACGAGCTGGAGACCCTTGGAGTAGGGACGAAGTGCCGGGCATAAGTGTGATCAATGCAGGTGGCGTGGCATCTGACAAAGGCTTGAAACAGGCACATCGTCATGGAGTGTGCTAAACACGCTGTTGATGTGCAACCGAGGGCAACTGGACTGTGAGCAAACATCGTCGACGGACCTGATGCATGCACGCAGCAGGGCTGCATCTAAGCTGCGCGACGGGGCCCTGAGGACTTGCGTGCAGCCGCCTTCCTGCGGATGCGCGTGCCTGACTGCCGCGACTCGGTGCAATCCGTCGCGCAAGCAGACCAAGGAGGAAGCTAGCGGGCCGACTTCGAGCTGTACCATTGACGCGGTGGCGTACAGGGACTGCCGTCGACAAACCGACACACGATTTCGCATGACTGGGTGTGCTGCAATTTGCATCCTGGTGGCACACGTGGTACACGGCACGGGAGTTCAGGAACCAGGCACAGAAGATACCAGAAGAGGAGAGGGAATCGTCTCGAAATGGGCAAACACGCATGTCCATCTGCCATGGAGCCGGGGAATCGAGGCCAAGACGATGCGACAGCAAAAGCGTCATCAAGTTTCCGTCATACCGGAACTCGCAGGTTTCCTTTGCCTCCTGGGCCTACGCCACTTTGGGGGGAAGGTCGGTGGTGGTGTTCGTCTGCCTGCATGCAGCCCTGCAGCATCGATTCGTCGGAGCTTGTTGCATTTTTGTGGTGGGATGGCGAGACATCGGCCGAGGGGACGAGATATGCTTGTTCTGCGTGAATGACAGATTCTGGGGAGGGGCGAACGCTGGGCATCCATGACCAGGCTCAAAACTCCAAGCAACTTTATTTGCGAAAAATCGCACGATAGCGACGTTGCTGTAAGGCATCAATGGCCAACCAGCGCCATGCCTAAGAAGGATCGCAAGGTTTCAGCGAGCTATACGCCTCGGGAGAAAATCATCAACGGTTTTGTTTGTTTCCCCTCGTACGGTGCCTGGTTCCTGGGCTTTGAGGGACGATCACCTGCCGCGTTCAGGGACGGGCCACCAACGACTCCAAGCAGCAAACGGGCAGGCTGGGGAGAGCGGTTTGCATAGGGCCTTGGGCCAGCGAGCGAATGAACTAGGAGCAGCGTGGCGGTTTTTGGGCCGAAAAAATAAAGGTGGCTGCGAGTGATAATATAGTTGAGCTAACAATGATCCATCCACATAGGACTGCACGTAAGCGACAAGGTTTCTCTCGACTTTGCAACCATTCATCCGAGTTGTTGAGTTTGAGAAAGGGGGGCTGGGATTGAGAGGATCGAAAGTCTGCAACTAGAAGTGCAAAAAAAGGGGATGAAGATGTCTCTGTTGCTTCTTGCTTTCTCTTCCTTCACCGACAGAGTTCACCCCCAGTCCCTGGAGGCTTTCTTTTTGCTGCAGATATTGAATTGCACATAGATCCACTACCCACGC